TTATTAATTATTAATTAGTTTAACAACTATATTAAACAAAATTAAGGTTTTTTAAATTACTTTTATATAACCTTGACTTTATAGCATTTTTCAAAAATATATTTTGATAATTTTTTTTACCAGTAAGCCTTTGTTACGTGGGCCATAATCCATATCTTTCTACTTTCCATGCTTGTTTGGGGATGTGAAAATTATTGTCCAAGTAATTCACTGAAATCTATGGTACATAAAGATTCTTAAAGGAACCAAAAAGTCAAAAAATGAGTCACACTTATTAGGTTTTGTAAAAGTTAAGCTACTTGCTTTTATAAAGTTTAAGATCAAACTCGAATTCAATAATTATAACAAACTTAAGCTCAAATTGGGTCCTTTTCATATTAAACTAATTAAGATTTGCGAGTTAAACTTGTTAATAGCCAGCTATACTTCTACCTCTTTAGAAAATAAAATCAAAAACATTTTCTAAAAAAAATGTCTGCATCCAATTTCAACTGTTGCTATTGAAAAACATTTTTGAAAGCCCAGTAAGGTACACCAGATGCAAAAATTAAGCAAATGTACAAGGAAATCTAAGTCCGAGAAGAGCAATAATTATAATATTATGTAAAATTTTAATTTTATAATTATAATATAATATTTAATAAATATTATATTATAATAAATTTAATAAATAATTAATTATATAATAATATTTTATAATATTATATAATATTATAATTATAATATTTTTTATAAAAAAAATTGAGTAAAATAAAATTATAAAAGTAGGAGTGTCCACCGACGCGCCAGTGGTGCAAGTGGTAATACCCCGCAAAAAATATCCGTTACTCCAAACACAAGTCAAAAAGTTCACGAGGGCACCAAAGCACAAAACATTATTTTGTACTAATGTACTGTTTTATTATTTGATCGGTTTTGAATTATAAAATATTTTTTAATTATTTTATTTATTAACAAAAATAAAATCACATTTACTTTTACCGAAAAAAATTAAGTAATTAACGTCTAAAAAGTAAATATGATTACCTCTTTAGCGCTAGGATTCGCCGGCGCAATGTACCGATTTCCCTGGCTGTTAATGGTGGGGTTAGCGCTACCGCCGATGGCGTACATCTCCCACCCCGCGAAATCATTGTTCACCACGTGTATGTACCCGCGCCTGCACCGCGGCATCCGCTGCACCAGCGCCTCGCCGAAGTGATTGAACGCTATGGTCACCTGCATCCCCGAATCCGGCAAGTAGTCGTCACTGTGCCCCAGGAGCATCACCTCGTTGTGATGCGAGAAATAACTGTTGCTTATGGTGATTCCGGTAGATCCCATTATAGCATCGATGAGTCCATCCGTACAGTAGCTCAGGGAGCAGTGATCGATCCAGATTTTCTGTGACCCGAAGATGGAAATCCCGTCGCCGTCCGACTTTCCCCGCCACCCCACATGGGTGGGGGACGAGGCGATGTTGGTGTTACCCGATGGTTTGCAGTGGTGAATGTGGATGTTGTGGATGATGACGTGGGAAACGTACTGAAGCGTCAAACACCCATTGCCTGTGATATAAACGTTTGCCCCTCGACCGTCAACTGTTTTGTAACTGTTGAAGATGAGCTCGTGCTTCAGCTTTATAATCATGTTGGTGCTGAAAATAATCCACAGCGGCTCGTCTTGGATGACGGCGTGGCGGAGGGTACCAGGGGTGGGGTTGGCAGGGTCATGGTCGGAGGAGTCGGTGACTACATAGAACCGGCCGCCCCTGCCGCCCAGGGTGCCCCGCCCGAAACCGATTGAGCAGTCAGCAAGGCGTTGGCGGTTGTTGATCCAGTTGGGATCGCACCGCCAGCAGTCATCGACGGGGTTTCCGGTGAGACATTGGTCGTTTTGGGTGAGAAACAGGGCTTGTCTTCTTGAAAGAGACACATTCAATCCTCTGCAAGAAAAAGGAAAGATTTTTCAGATTCTTTGTTTGATTGAACAATGAGAGAATATCAAACAGAAAATGGGAAATGCTCAGATGTGTTTTCGAATGTAGACTTTTGGAAAATGCAATATGTTAGGAGAAATCTTGATTCTGAAAAAGGGAAAAACAGAGTACTCTGTTTGGATACTGAGAGAAAATTTTTTAAAAAAAAAAGTGGGGGTACCTGAGAAAATGTTACTAAATTTTCTGTCAAAATCCTTGCAAATGAGACGGACCAGGGTGCTAAAACCGTGAAATGTGAAAAACCCAGACGGGATTTCGCTTGCAACAAAGTAAAGGTAAGAACTTGGGCGATAAAACACCAGATTGGGCAAGATCGAGATGTGATTTTTACATGGCTCAGAACCAAAATCTGATAAACCCAGAATGGAAAACCCTATGGGTGTTTGAAGTTGTCAAGGTCTTACCTTTGGATATCTTGAGCAACAGCATCAGGGTCTGGGTGTTGGTGTAGGAGGGTCCGGTTTGAGGCAGCATTGATCAGGGGGAAGGCAAAGCTGAAGAAGAGCAGGCATATTAAGAGAATGCAGGTGTTTGGAAGCATCCTTGATGGGGCATTCGCTTGTTTTTCAAAGACCCTCCGTTGAGATGACTTACTTGCTCTTCCTTGCTCACAGTGACACAACTAGCTAAGCTTTGGACGCTGCAAGTTTTGGGAAGGGAAAAAGGAAAATTAGGAGGTTTTGTGACGAGGGGATGATGAAAAGAGTAAAATATTTTTAACGAATCAACAGTTCAGAAAATCCTGTCTTTTTCTTTTCTTTCTTTCTTCTTCCTTTTTTTTTTTTCCTTTTTTTTTTTTTGGAGAAAATGCCAAGTGGTTTACATAAAGGTATGTAAAACAAGACTAACCCACAATTTAAAATGTACGAAACGATTTTTAGGGTTCTCTGGGGAAGAGGAAAGCAAGAGATAGGGGACGCCAGGGGATGAGGAGCCAGGAGCAGATCGAGGGAATGGATCTCTCTCTCTACTATTTCTCCCTTTGCAACCTCACCCAGCCACTGACATTCCTAACTTCCTTCACAATTATTTTAAAAATTCATCCTAGAAGGTTATCCTGGAGAGGAAAGGGAGCTTATCCAAAATGCCAGAGCCCTTCTCTCTTTTCCTTTCTTCTCCCTCAAAAACCAGGTCTTTTACTTTGGATCAGAGATTCTTTATACAGAATAAGTAGGCTGTAAGAATGGTTAAATTAATTCTTTTCACCAAATAGTAATCCGAGAACGGACCCAAACCAATTCACTTTTGGTCTTTGGTGAAAAGGATGGAAGTTCGTATATTTAATCAAAGATTCAAAGCCTGCAACTTTCAGTAAAACTTCTTCTATTAGTGAAAATGACGGCCTGGAACAAAATGCTCCTTCCTTTTCCTCCAAAATTAACTAAAACAAAAGGAAATTAAGATGATGAATTTGGGGATGAAAAAAAAAATGGAATACTAAAACTGGATACCTTCGTCAACATTAGAGCCACCTCTTCCTCCAAGTTACCAACTGAAGCTAAACTTGTAACTAGAGTTCGGTCTTGAGAGAGGAGCAATCTCATATCTAAGGATTTTGGAAATTAATTCGCATATTCTATATTTAAATCAGTCTAAAGTCCAAACAACTACAATTCTTTAATATGACTGTATCTCCATATTTAAGAGTTGTTGTCGTTAGTTGGAGTCCTACTTTTGCAGTTCAGTAAAATGGGTTTATTGGACTGAAGGGTAGTTCCCGTAGAGTGAAAGACCTCTCTCAATTTAATACTCCCCCATTCAATTTTTATTGCTTTGGATTTTTTATTTAATAAAATAAAAAT